ACTACCTCTGAGGATGCTTGCCATAGATGCAGGCAAAGAGAATGCCTCTAGGCCATGGCCATATAGCCTGAAAAAACCTACAACAACCTAGTTTGTTGTTGTGTTTCCTCATCAGTTTCCCAATGCGGTCAGTGGTTCCCTTGATGTATGGCAAGAACACTTTTCCTCTGGGTGGATCTTTGTCCTGACTCTTGCGGCTTGTTCTCGGTCTTGCAGTTCTTCTACAAATGCTACATTCAGCAAAGGACAAGACAGATCCTCTCACTTCTGGGTCTACCGTATACCATGCAGCTGTGGACAAGTCTACAGAGGGACCACCAAATGCAGCATCGCCCAGGCACAAATCAAGGAACATTTCTTCAAAAATGCACACAACTGTCTCAAGAAAGGGGGAAAATTCTGTATTTTTCCTCCTTCAGGAGAATGAAGCAGTTAAGGATTTATATCCCTTTAAAAAAGCCAGTCTCTACAAATGAGCATGGCTTATGTTTATGAATATTTGCTTGGCCCAGTTTGAATACCTAATCTGGATTTCCATAGCAAAGCATATGCGCATTCGGTCTCAAAACCAGTCCTTCGAAATCGCCGATCAATAATTTATTACTCCAAACTCCAAAATTGCTGCTATACTGTCTAACCTATCTATTTCTGGAAATTTAATTCCATTATGAACAAGAGAATGAGAGGGAGAACATACAGAGAGAGAGAGAGAGAGAGAAAGGAAAGGGAGGGTTAATCTTTCCATCTTTTGGAAGAGCGCTGGCTCCTCTTGCTGTGAATTCCAAATTTATGAGCAACTGCTATTGTTGGCGCTCCCTTTGAGGAGGAATATATATATATGTTTCAAGGGCTGGGACGCAGTGCAGAATAATTGGTCAAGTCCCTGTGTTCTCTTTGAGTTTCCCACTGTGAGAGTCAGAGGTCAATCAGATCTATGGAAGCAGGATTCCCTCTCATCTTTTTTTTGCTCAAGAAGACTTTGGCTTTAAGCTAATTTCCGTCCTTTCTCTCTTTTCCCCTGCCACTCGCTCTCTTCTGTGAAGCGTGCCACATTCTCGGAGTCCTTCAAGAAAAGTGCCAGGGGTGCTTCAGGAAGTGATATGTCAAAACTCTTCCAAATTACTCACTGAAAATGACTGCTGAAGTCGAGTTGCCAAAAAATGATGTCTTGCACTGTGTGCTGCATATGAGGGAGTCTCGCCACTTCAGGATGACTTGGTAGAAGTGGAGCATTCGGAATCACTCCAGTCTGGCTTCAGACCTTCTTTGGTGTCCAAAGACATGAATGAATGAATAAATAAGAGTTTGAAGAACTCATAAGGACTACCCAGTCCAACCAGATTCAGCCACACAGGAGCAAACAGTCAAAGACCCCTGAAAGATGGCTATACAACCTCTTATCAAAAACCTCCAGAGAAGGAGACTCCACCAGACTCACAGGCAGCAACATATTCCACTGCCAAACAGCTCTCACTACCAGGAACATCTTTTTAATGTTTAGGTGGAATCATTTTCCTGTAATTTAAATACATTTCTCGATGTCGTAGCCTCTAGATCAGTGCTTCCCAACCTTCCCAATGCTGCAACACCTTAATATAATCCTCATGTTGTGGTGACCCCCAACCATGAGATTATTTTTGTTGCTACTTCATAACTGTAATTGTGCTACTGTTATGAATCGTCATGTAAATATCTGATATGCAGGATGCATTTTCATTCACTGGACCAAATTTGGCACAAATACCCAATATACCCGAATTTGAATAGTAGTGGAGTTGAGGAGGGATTGGTTTTGTCATTTGGGAGTTGTAGTTGCTGGGATGTATAGTTCACCTACAATCAAAGAGCATTCTGAACTCCACCAATGGTGGAATTGAACCAAATTAGGCACACAGAACTCCCATGACTAACAGAAAATACTGGAAGGGTTTGGTGGCAATTCACCTTGAGTTTTGGAGTTGTAGTTCATCTACATCCAGATAGCACTGTGGACTCAAACAATGATGGATCTGGACCAAACTTGGCACGGATACTCACCTCTAGATTAGACTACTGTAATGCACTCTACGTGGGGCTGCCCTTGAAAATGGCCCGGAAATTCCAACTGGTTAAATGGGCGGTGGCCAGATTGTTAACTGGTGCTCCTTACAGGGAGAGGTCAACCCTCCTGTTTAAGGAGCTCCATTGGCTGCCGTTCATTTTCCGGTCCCAATACAAGGTGCAGGTGCTAACCTACAAAGCCCTAAACGGTGTGGGACCCGCCTACCTGCATGACCGCATTTCAGTCTACGAACCCACACGATCTCTTCAATCTTCCGGAGAGGCCCTGCTCGCGATCCCACCTGCATCGCAAGCTCAATTGGTGGGGACAAGGGACAGGGCCTTCTCTGTGGTGGCCCCTTGACTCTGGAACTCACTCCCAAAGAATATCAGGCATGCCCAAACATTGACAGTTTATAGGAGGAGCTTGAAAACGTGGCTGTTTCAGTGTGCCTTCCCAGAATAGGAAACTCCAAGCACTTTGTCCCAAATGCACTTTACTAGAGATCTAGGACTGTCTGCATGCCCCTACCTATTCTCCAAAATATCTATCCATCTCACCCGGTCATGCCCAGCTTTTTAAATTTTAACTTTTACATCTGACCCTGACACTGGTTTTTACTTGTGTCGTGTTGTTATTGTTAATGTTATTGCTTGAGTGTATTTACTGCTGTATTGTTGTTGTCTTGTTTATTGTTGTATTGGGTCTCGGCCTACTGCAAGCCGCACCGAGTCCTTCGGGAGATAAAGGATTATTATTATAAA